TGTTTATAAGTTTATTAACTTAATTATTCAATGTTTTGATTAAATTTCTCGAGAAATTTGTTCAGGAGAAATTTCTAGAAAGTTTCTCCGAGAAATTTCTAAGAAATTTCTTTTGGCCCAACACTATAAATCTGATAATTATTTGCACTGTTTTTGGCCTAATTGTCAATTCAAGACAATATTGAAAAGTAATTTAACTTTACATCAATTAAGTCATTCAGGAATAAAGCAATTTAAATGTGATTTTAATAATTGTAATAAAAGTTTTGCACAGAAGCATAATTTAACTCGACATAAAAATTGCATTCATTTAAATGTGAGATTTATTTGTGATTTCAATGAATGCCACAAAAGTTTTAAATCAAAACATCATTTAATTCAACACAAAAGTTGTATTCATTTGAATGAAAAGAGATTCAAATGTAATGAAGAAAATTGTGGCAAAAAATTCAATGCAAAATATAATTTCTTTCGACACAAAAGAGAACATTCGGGAGAAAAACTATTTGTTTGTCATTTCAATGATTGTAATAAAGGGTTTACACAAAAATCTACTTTGAAAGATCACATAAACCGACATTTAAATATTAAAAGTAATAAATGTATTCATAATTATTGTGGTAAAATGTTTGTTACAAAACGAGAGTTATTGGCTCATGATAAAAGAATTCATAAGAAATTAAATTTTAAATTTAATAATAAAGTTGTATAATTATTACAATAAATAGTTATTTTCAAATTTATTAATCATGTATTTTTATTTAAAACATTTATATGTAAAATAATTAATTATAATTATAAAATAATTTATAAACTTTTAGATAAATTGGTGTCAATCTAATATTTATTTGAGTATTTTACTAAAATTATTATTTCTACATACGTATAATTACATTGAAATAAAATAATATTTAGATTTTAAATTATTTTGAAAATTACAATTTATTTAATTTGCCTAAATAATTAAACAATTAAACTAAACGCAATTTTTTAAATTTTACAAAAATAAATTGATTTAATCAATAATAATAATCTTTCCAGAATTGATCGCACGTGGTATTAAAGGGATTATCCAATATCTGGGTCTTATTACTTGAATCTAAAACTTGCACTTTAACCTCATTGCTTTGGGTTAACATTAGTGGCCAATCAATATCCGGTTTTCTATCAAATAGACGCAAAATACTTTATTATTATATCAGGTGATTTGTATTACTAGTGCTATAATTACCCTGTTTTAGCAAAATTAGTCCACAACCGCATTATTTTATCACTAAATACACGGTCTGTGTCATTAAAAAGGGTAGGAATTTGATATGTCATACCCATAATAAACGGTAAATCAGCGCCATGACAAATGCCCATGGTTGTAATATCACAACTCATATACCTGGACATAAATTCATCGCTCTGATAATCCCATTGATAGAAATAAACATTATGGTTGTTTTGTTGAGTTATTAGCGCAAAATGCTTTGCAAACAAATATGTCGGACAATTCATTATCAAATCACCAAAAAATTTATAAAATGCCTGTTTTATAGCCAACGGATTACTAGTGTCTACACTCTGAAGGTAGAAATCGGTCACTTTTTGTACGTCTAAGCCGTGATATTTATCATCCGATTGCTTAACATAGGCTTGAAATTCATCGACACTTTTAATGTCATACACTTTCAACACGAGTGCCACCAGTGATGAGCCCTCGTTAGCGGTAATACCAGTTAATAAGTCTATATCTGTAATAAAAATGCTATATTAGTTACAGTAAATTAATTTAACCAACATAATTTTTATTAATTTTGTAATTTACCCGTGTACAATTGTTTATTTTTTAGTGCCATATGAGTAGGTATGGGTAAAAAGGTTGTGCCCACCACTGGATAGCCGGCAAACCTCAGAGACTGTGATTGTTTGAGTATATCCTCGGCCTTAACAGCGCGTAAACACTGTAACCAATGCTCGGTTTCATTGCATTTCAGTTGTTTCGCAATTTGTTTGGCTTCTACTAAGGCTTCAGTTGTGTTGACCACATCCCTATCCTTGTTATACATATGGGCGCCGCTCTCCATAATAGCCCTCTTGAATAGGCCTTTGGATAGCGGGGAGAGTATGTGTGCGGACACAGAGATACTGCCGGCGCTCTCACCAAATATAGTGATCTGATCCCTATCTCCGCCAAATGAGTGGATGTTTTCTCTAACCTAATTAATGTCATTAATTAATTAATTATTTCATTAATAAATATAACTAATAATTAAAACAATTTATAAATTGATACCCATTTGAGAGCCAATAACTGGTCATAGAGTCCGACATTTCCGGGCGCGTCCTCCCGATCCCCGTATAGGAACCGCTTGACAGGATTGGATATTAATCACCTGTGTTGGTTGTGTAGTACACACCGGTTTTAATTCGGTAGTATGTTACCCGAAAGTATTTAACTAGGCAAATATTTGGGAGGCGGTATATAGGTTTTGTAAATGGGTTTGAGCTGTGATTTGTTTGTGTTATTATTGCCCGCATTTGGTGTCCATATGTTTAATACCAAACAATCTTCACTTAAAAGTGAATGATTTATAAATTTTGTTTGTATACAAGAATTGCCCGGTTTTGTGGCATCAATAATGTCCTAGATCACATTATTTAATCATTATTTTAATATTTAATTATAAAAATAAATATATATTTAATTATTACTTACCTTTAGGGGTTGTTTGAGTGGTACGGGCGGTGCAAACCTTAGGCTACCGACCGGTGGCTCAGCGAACGGTATATTCAAAAATTGGTCAACAGTTTTGTTGAGCACCTGTAGTGTCATACCTCTCACAACACCCGATGTTGTTTTCACATCAATACTATTTACAGTTAATGTTTGAATAATACAAACTAATATAATTGAATATATTTTATATTTTAAATACATTTTTATTTTATTTTTATAACACACGGTAAATTTTTTCAATAAATATACTAATATTTATTTTAATTCTGAATTTATACTACAGTGAATTAATTAAATACTTAACATCACATTGTAGTATACATTGTATTCTATAAGGTCACAACTTGATATTGGATCCAGATAAAACTTTTTATAATTATATACAGGTTTAAGTCTATAAATACGGTATAATGATAAGTGCAAAGAATTGCAACATAATTTGTTCTATCGGGGTTTCGTTTATATTTCCGCAGTGTTTAGTAACGGTATATTTGGATGTTTGCCAAATTTTTGTGGTTACTTCCAATAAACCCTTTTAAATGTCATTTAATACATCTATTATTTAGCTTCAATTCTATATT